GAACAGCAAAAGACTCGACTTTAACTCATGAGGTTTCATTAACATTAAGAATTTAGTTTTGTGCCTATGTCGTGGGATGGTACAATAACAGACGGATCTCTTCATTTACATTTGTGTGTTTAAACCTCATTTCTGGATGATACTGCTTCTACTTATTAAACCTACGCTAAAACCTGGAGTCTATTTTAGAAATCTCCCCATGGTGAAGAATCCTAACCGCACTCAGTAGCCTTCCATTGAAGTAGGCGATAATCTCGAGATGATGACTTCCTTGTACACCCGTAAATAATGCAAAAATCTTGCGACCTTAAGGAAAATCTTTGTATAATTTGATCTCTGTCCTCTTCCTTTTGTGTCATAAAATGTCGCAGAAGAATTCGTTCAGGGTGTGAATAGCTCTACAGCACTGAAAGATTGCAGGATATGGGACTAGCCTGCTCCCGGTCAGACCCATCTCTAATAAGTATTAACACATTAGGAAGCATTGAAAACGTGAACAGGATGACGAAAGCCCAAAAAGAGCTTAACCTTCGCCTGGAAATTACATTTTAAACATCAGTTACCTTAGTCCAGGATACTGGTAAAATTGAAGAAGAAGCTGCAAGATAGTTGTAAGAATTGGGCGTATACGGGCAATCCCCAACAACAGTGTACACTCAATGCTCTATGATTCACATCTAAAAGCAAAAAGATTCTTGGATACAAGATCTCGGGTTTAATATTTGAATTGTGCAGCAAAGAATGCAGCAGCAGACAGACCTGTGCTGGTGGTACACAACCCAGTCGCTTCAAGAAATGTGGCATTCGGGTTAGCCAAATTGTGCCTTTAGGTCCAAAACCACTTTCTGCACCATACAGGCCATTAACTGATACTCACTTTGTGCCATGACGCTGCATCAAGTGAAGTAATCTAGTAGTTCCACGCCCATAAACAAAAAGTGGGTGGAAAATCCAGCGTACTGTTGTTTCTTTGTGGAGAAAATAAGGAAAAATCACATTACCCTCCTGAAGGTGAGACATGTACTACTCGAGTAAGAAGAATCATGGTTTGCTAATTCTAATACCTTCATCATCCAATCCACAACTAAGGCACGCGTGTTCACCTAAATCCGCGCATCTTGAAGGAATGTAAAAATTCTTCTCAACGTCCATTCATAATCTCGAGGAGTATCCAAAGAGAGCTACTGAAAGTGACGTCGAAATTCGATGCATCAAGTAGAACTGAAGTAACCACTCAAGTTGATACTATTCAATGGGGATGCAAAAGTTGAGTTTACATGGTCATAAAAAGTACAGTCTGTGTCAGTTTCTTCCCCATTGGAAACTTGATCATTAAAATCAAATCCTCCCTTGCGTTCTCCAGCCCAGTCAGTTCCCTCTTCTATGTATATATATCCACCTTCAGAATCTCCTTCCTCGCTACTGAATTCGTCCTCATAATCTTCTTTGAAATTAAGTGGAGGTTGTTCGGGAAAATAGCCGTTATCTAAACTAGAAAATCAACGTGATGGGTAAAATTTTAGTCCGAACAGAAGGATGCTTGCACTATTACCTTAAAAGTACACAAATGCATGTCGGTGTAATGCTTCCTGTTGCTGAAGTACTTCCATCCTTTATGCAAGTTACTGGGCGTTCAATGAAGACAAATTCCTCTCCCCTTAAGAAGGCTGTAAGTTTTTTTTTATACCCCAGTAACAGATAAAAACAAAAAATGTGAACTTTTTTTTGCACCAGACAAGGCTGTAGATATTGCAGGGACTTGTTTAAAATCCGAAGGCAATCAACCGGGTACTTAAACTTCTGAGTTGCTCTATTTAAAAAAAGGATAAAGATGAAAAAAATGACAACTTGACAGTGTTGGTAACGGTAAACAGTACCATTATTTGCAAGGCTTCTTGGGTGATTTGCACTTTCACCTGGACTCCGCCCTATGCCTGAAGAAGTGGAAGACGGTATGCTCTTTACAAACATGGAGGTTGCTTGAAGTAACCATGCGCACTTTTTTCTTTTGGTGCTTGCTCACTTCAACTGTGGAAACAAGTACCAAGTGCTGAACTTACCTTTCTATCGAGAGGCCGCCGGGTGACCTATGCCTGAAGCTGCTTCCTTTCCTTTAGACAAACTAGAAAGGCAGGATAATGAGTTTAAAATTAACTTAGGTTTATGAAATAAATAAGAGGATTCTGCCTTACTTTTAGGAACCATATTCAACTGTAACAATGTTGATTTGTTGCAGATATAGTCCAAATTTACCTCATGCAGTATGAACGCCTCTCGGTGGAGGTGCTCTCAGGTGGTGGTCGAGATAGTCACGCATGGATGGCGGTAAATTCACAACTGTTTTGCCTACTTTAGACACTGAAATATGGTCAAGAATATTCCACTCCAGTTTTTTATTATGCAATAACGTAACTTCTTGCCTGTTGAATTGTAATGCACCACTTGTTTCTCTTCAGTGATTTCGATTTCTCCAAGGAAATGGGGTACCGTTAGTATGATTTCTGAATGCCATCATTGAAAGTGGAACCCGACCACTCCCTCGGGGGGCAAAGCTCCATTCACCTGCCTGATCAATAGTCGCAGATGTCGAGGAAATTTGAACAAAACAACCAAATTTTAACTTTGTCAGTTTAGATTTTATGTATTTAAGATCACCGGCTGAATAGCAAACACTTTATGCGCGGATAATGCTATTTGCTAACCCCCGTTGTTTGATAGACCTGAGAAAGTTCGCAGATTAAAGAAAGACTGCCCTTAAGAGAAATACCTTTATTTTCATTTAATTGATTAGAAAATCTAATTTGCTATTTTTTTGGGGGAAAACAGATTACTCAGTATCAATTAACTTAATTCACTGAGGTACCCATTACATCCTCCTTTACGGTGCCTAGTTTAAAGGTTGAAGCGGCCTAAAGTAACCACAGCCAATGAATCCACCAATCACTCGATCGGTGGGCGAGAAAACGCTCCATAGAGGGTGGTTGAACTCTGACAACTGCAATGCTGAACAGTGCATTCAAGCAACTATCTGCCTACTTGTTTCAATGTCGTCAGGCCATTTAGTAACCGCTCAGGGAATGTGGAAGACGCATTGTTCAGTCGGGATCCACCTACTCAACCGAAGCCTTGAGGTGCCATGGCTATCGGGCTTATGCATACCCCACTGAGATGCCCAATCAGCGATCTCAAAGCTCAGGTTGCATCGTCGCTGTCCTCCCTTGTGGTAGTGTTTTCGGATTATTGGAAATACAACAACAAATCAAGGGTTCCAACTGCCTGATGGAAGTGATTCGGCTCCTGGGTCGTGCCAAATAGACTTGGTGATGGGTGTCAGGGATAAAGGATAGGCAAAATGCCTTCTTCAACTGGTAGAGATGGGAATGAAGTGAGAATGGAAAGCCTTGAGCGTGGATCGGTTGGAATTGAGCTCATGGAAGGGAGGGACATTGTTGAGCGGCGGGTGAAGGAAGGACAGATGAAGAGTCCCATCTGGCCCTCCTCTGTGATTGTGACTTGTCTGTCTGTGCGATAATTGGCTATGTGAAGGTGAGAAATGGTTCACTGAGTATTGTGGCTAAATTAACTAGTAGACGTCAGAATGAAGTTAATTTGATGCCTTACGCACAACGGACTGAAATTGCGGTAACCCGGTTTTTTTGCCAAGAGCACAAAATATGCTTTTTGCAAGAAGTTTATTTAAATTAAATGATATATAGGGAAAAGTTCTACCTCATTTTTGATGTGCAGAGGTGGGAATTGATTTCTATTCCCCAGACTTGAATACATTTGGGCAGTAAACGCACTGCAAAAACTCATCCTGACCATTACCTCCTACGCTTTCCTCCGCAGATGGGCTGATTGTTTCTTTGCAATAAATCTTCAAAGATGATTTTTAAGTCGAAGTTTATCATAATTGGGTGAATCGCTATCTGATTGTTGTCTCTTGCAGTGTATTTTTCAAAAATAGGCTAAACGTATTAAAGAATGCGTAAGTTAATGCGATGTTGTGCCTGTGTGGGAGCAGGAAGGAAAAACACAGACTAATCGTAAGCGGTATTTGTAGGAGTATTTTATGCAGAAAAGGCAAAAGTCAAGTTAATACAACGAATTAAATTCATGCGCGTATTTATATCAAGCATTACCAATAGCTCTGTTGGATATTTTGCATTTGGGATTACAAATTCCTTGGCTTTTTGCACCAGTGTACCGTAAATAAAAGCAACCGAGGAAAGGCTGCTTTCCTCTGAATAACCGGTAAGTGTCTCTAACGCCTTTGGCCAAAGAGGTAAAAGGCTGAACTCATGGACATTCTCCTTAAAAAGGCTCACGCTTGCCCCGTGTAAAATACCGCCGTTGACTCGTAGAATGCGGCGAACAAGGTAAATTGCGGCCGAACAACGGAGGAAAGCTGGAAACCGCGTTAGTTCGTACTCCGTCAGACCCAAATCAAGAATATATGAACATGCCGAATTCACCTAGGGAGAATTTTAACATTGATAAACACTAAAAGTTTGCAAGCATAACAGTTAAAAGCCGTTCGTTTACAATACAAAGAATTAAATAAACTACAAATTACCAATCTCGTGCAATAGGGTGGAATGTCGTTGCAAATTTTCAAGAATATCTCGAGATAGGTGTATGGAGTCGGACAAATAACGTCGAAATCAAGGATTGTCAACAGGTTCTGCTCCATGAATAAGAGCTAAAATGTAACCACGCTGATGAGAATTGGAGCTAATCTAGCCGTGGCAGGGACAGTTTAAGGATGCATAAACGCACCTGCTCTTTAGTGTAGCTGTTTTTGGACAAATCGCACAGAAATTCAGCCTTTATACGCATCTGCGAAGTTGATGTCTTCACAGCCACCCAGAGAGCCGCAGCTGCGAGCAAATGGCATTCCCCAGGTCCTGTTCTTGTACGCCAAATATAGCGATCCACATAGGTTGTTGCAAGATGCAAGATCTCTGTTGGAATATTTATGTATAAGTGAACCTTAAAAGATGAGGGCGTAAAGACCTGTAATTACTGTCTTTTAGGTGCAGAAAAAGGCAAACATGCGTTTTTTGGGCGCACCCTAATCATCCAACCAAACATGTGTGCACGAAATGCCGCATCAAGGCCGCTTCTGCTAAGAGATTCTGGCTTGAATTCCTTCAGAACTTCGAGATCTTTTTTCCGTTCTGTAAAATAGATCTAGAGAGCAGAAAAACACCTCTGAAGCATATATTTACCCAATATTGTTACAGTGAAGAGGCAACCGAGAGCAAGGCTTACCTTTTCTTCGAGGGACATTGCATTCTTTTGGCGTTGTGAAGGATCACTATTCTTGACTAGTTGACAGCAGCCGCATTTCTCTGACAGGAATAACAGGCAACGAATTCATGCACAGCTATAATTTACTATTTACAGAACTATTTAAGGCATATTTCAAATCTGACTTTGCGAAGTAGGTAACTAATCATGGACCTATGGATAAAAAGACTTACCCTGTTTATGGGGGCCTTGCTGTTGGCGCAAAGAACTAAAATTTTGACCTAAAATAAAGTAATTATTTGACAGATTCACCCAGCATTAAAACATTAACCACTTGTTATAAGCAATATGCTAAATGAAATGAAAATAATCAAAGAGCAAAGGGTTTGCTTCAATTACAAATCAGATAATAAAAGTGATCAGAACTGCGGAAAGGGAAAGCATAGAATACTCACATAGACGAGACTGAGTCATTGGTTTTCCTTTTGAAAAAAATACGTAAATTACTTTGTCGATGAGGAATTATTGTGGACGTAGTTATACAGAGGATAAGGAGTGAGCACCACCAATTTCTTTTGAGATTTAGCTAAAATTAAAAATAATCATATTGGAATATTCTACAGGACCCACCTATCAGTCTGAGCAAATTCAAAGGGCCTATTGTGTCAGTAGGTGATTTATTTCCTTCCACCCAACTAATTCTTGCTTCATTCGGTCAAGTAAACTGCAAATTATTCGCTGACGGATTCATCACTGATAGTCCTTTAATTAAATAATCAATTAACAAATCAATCGATAAATTATTGGTTAACAGACGATGAAGTGCATCTATTTGGGGTAGCTCCATGCATTCGCCTGCTGCGGCCCCACGGCTTATGGTCAGTACGTCGCCCATGAAGAGAGTAAAATAGTGAATACTTGAAAGCTTTGACTAAAATGAAGATTAAAATATCGCCCATGTTCGGTTAATATATTAAAATTTATTTCTCAATGAGTAGTAGTTATTGGGAGGAAGACTCCTTTAGCCTAGATGTATGATAATTACAGTATCATTGCTTCTCTGTTAGGTGTACTTTTTGTTTACGTGGCTACTACTTCGATAAATCACTTGGAAGCGAAGGAGAGGAGGACAGTTTGGCATTGGCATGCAATTTGCGCGTAAAAGCCGAAGTTTTCTGGTGCTGTTTTGGAGGTGGAGTAGTTAAAATGCCTTGATTGGTTCAAGATACAGCTTGATTAAGGACATTTTTAAACGATAAGTTTGTTTCCTTACGTGAGGAAAAGTAATATGCAAACAACCTGATAAATGCGGTCCAAAAGTAAGAAAAATCTACTTCCCTAAAGCGTAAGTCTGAAAAGGACTCCACGTTTCAGAGTAGGTTTAATTAGTGAAAGCAGTGTCATTCACCCATTTTTGACTAAAGAGAGGTACAGAAATAAATTCCCAATGTTGATTCAACCTTAATGGTTGATCTCACTTCACTTGCTCTTT